ATATATTCAACAGTGAGCAAAAAAAAAAAAGACAGTTCAAAAATATCAAACCAAATATAAAACTTTTAATAAAGTTTGCTTATTTAAAAAATAAAACTTGTTTCAAAATATTTAGAAAGAAAAAACTGGCATTAATGGCAGCCAACATCATTGGTCAATTGCTCTTTTTGACTATATATCATTAACTATTTTCATTTTAAATCTTTATTTAAATCAGTAATGAAGACGGTTTAATGATATAATCATTATTTTCGAAATTAATGTGTGCGTCAAATTATCACAAATTGGTGGCTATTCAAAACAATCTGATGTAGACACTTGAACAGAAATGATTAAAATTTAACTGAATTTCAAACAATCTAAATCAGGTCATATTTTCCCAATTATTTATAGAAAAATGCAGATGAATATGTAAATTTCCAGGGAAAAACTGATTTTAATGACCTAACAAATATGAACATAGTTTTAAGTACAATTGTATAACCAAATACTTACATGCTACTCATTTCCAATCTCCAATGAAACAATCTTCATGTTCTGTGACTGACTGGAACTTGGTAAGGCCTGCTACTGTAATAGAACTAAAATTATAATTAGACTAAAATTAAATATACTTTCCTTTAATTTTCTTGTCCTGATCCTCGTCAATGGCTCCATTTTCGGGGTCTCTGCTGTAAACATCTTCTTCATAGAACTGAAACAAAAACAAAATTATTTATAGACAGATGCTGATAAACTCAAATAAAATTTACATATATTCAACAGTGAGCAAAAAAAAAAAGACAGTTCAAAAATATCAAACCAAATATAAAACTTTTAATAAAGTTTGCTTATTTAAAAAATAAAACTTGTTTCAAAATATTTAGAAAGAAAAAACTGGCATTAATGGCAGCCAACATCATTGGTCAATTGCTCTTTTTGACTATATATCATTAACTATTTTCATTTTAAATCTTTATTTAAATCAGTAATGAAGACGGTTTAATGATATAATCATTATTTTCGAAATTAATGTGTGCGTCAAATTATCACAAATTGGTGGCTATTCAAAACAATCTGATGTAGACACTTGAACAGAAATGATTAAAATTTAACTGAATTTCAAACAATCTAAATCAGGTCATATTTTCTCAATTATTTATAGAAAAATGCAGATGAATATGTAAATTTCCAGGGAAAAACTGATTTTAATGACCTAACAAATATGAACATAGTTTTAAGTACAATTGTATAACCAAATACTTACATGCTACTCGTTTCCAATCTCCAATGAAACAATCTTCATGTTCTGTGACTGACTGGAACTTGGTAAGGCCTGCTACTGTAATAGAACTAAAATTATAATGAGACTAAAATTAAATATACTTTCCTTTAATTTTCTTGTCCTGATCCTCGTCAATGGCTCCATTTTCGGGGTCTTTGCTGTAAACATCTTCTTCATAGAACTGAAACAAAAACAAAATTATTTATAGACAGATGCTGATAAACTCAAATAAAATTTACATATATTCAACAGTGAGCAAAAAAAAAAAGACAGTTCAAAAATATCAAACCAAATATAAACTTTTAATAAAGTTTGCTTATTTAAAAAATAAAACTTGTTTCAAAATATTTAGAAAGAAAAAACTGGCATAAATGGCAGCCAACATCATTGGTCAATTGCTCTTTTTGACTATATATCATTAACTATTTTCATTTTAAATCTTTATTTAAATCAGTAATGAAGACGGTTTAATGATATAATCATTATTTTCGAAATTAATGTGTGCGTCAAATTATCACAAATTGGTGGCTATTCAAAACAATCTGATGTAGACACTTGAACAGAAATGATTAAAATTTAACTGAATTTCAAACAATCTAAATCAGGTCATATTTTCCCAATTATTTATAGAAAAATGCAGATGAATATGTAAATTTCCAGGGAAAAACTGATTTTAATGACCTAACAAATATGAACATAGTTTTAAGTACAATTGTATAACCAAATACTTACATACTACTCATTTCCAATCTCCAATGAAACAATCTTCATGTTCTGTGACTGACTGGAACTTGGTAAGGCCTGCTACTGTAATAGAACTAAAATTATAATTAGACTAAAATTAAATATACTTTCCTTTAATTTTCTTGTCCTGATCCTCGTCAATGGCTCCATTTTCGGGGTCTTTGCTGTAAACATCTTCTTCATAGAACTGAAACAAAAACAAAATTATTTATAGACAGATGCTGATAAACTCAAATAAAATTTACATATATTCAACAGTGAGCAAAAAAAAAAAAGACAGTTCAAAAATATCAAACCAAATATAAAACTTTTAATAAAGTTTGCTTATTTAAAAAATAAAACTTGTTTCAAAATATTTAGAAAGAAAAAACTGGCATTAATGGCAGCCAACATCATTGGTCAATTGCTCTTTTTGACTATATATCATTAACTATTTTCATTTTAAATCTTTATTTAAATCAGTAATGAAGACGGTTTAATGATATAATCATTATTTTCGAAATTCATGTGTGCGTCAAATTATCACAAATTGGTGGCTATTCAAAACAATCTGATGTAGACACTTGAACAGAAATGATTAAAATTTAACTGAATTTCAAACAATCTAAATCAGGTCATATTTTCCCAATTATTTATAGAAAAATGCAGATGAATATGTAAATTTCCAGGGAAAAACTGATTTTAATGACCTAACAAATATGAACATAGTTTTAAGTACAATTGTATAACCAAATACTTACATACTACTCATTTCCAATCTCCAATGAAACAATCTTCATGTTCTGTGACTGACTGGAACTTGGTAAGGCCTGCTACTGTAATAGAACTAAAATTATAATTAGACTAAAATTAAATATACTTTCCTTTAATTTTCTTGTCCTGATCCTCGTCAATGGCTCCATTTTCGGGGTCTTTGCTGTAAACATCTTCTTCATAGAACTGAAACAAAAACAAAATTATTTATAGACAGATGCTGATAAACTCAAATAAAATTTACATATATTCAACAGTGAGCAAAAAAAAAAAGACAGTTCAAAAATATCAAACCAAATATAAAACTTTTAATAAAGTTTGCTTATTTAAAAAATAAAACTTGTTTCAAAATATTTAGAAAGAAAAAACTGGCATTAATGGCAGCCAACATCATTGGTCAATTGCTCTTTTTGACTATATATCATTAACTATTTTCATTTTAAATCTTTATTTAAATCAGTAATGAAGACGGTTTAATGATATAATCATTATTTTCGAAATTAATGTGTGTGTCAAATTATCACAAATTGGTGGCTATTCAAAACAATCTGATGTAGACACTTGAACAGAATTGATTAAAATTTAACTGAATTTCAAACAATCTAAATCAGGTCATATTTTCCCAATTATTTATAGAAAAATGCAGATGAATATGTAAATTTCCAGGGAAAAACTTATTTTAATGACCTAACAAATATGAACATAGTTTTATGTACAATTGTATAACCAAATACTTACATGCTACTCATTTCCAATCTCCAATGAAACAATCTTCATGTTCTGTGACTGACTGGAACTTGGTAAGGCCTGCTACTGTAATAGAACTAAAATTATAATTAGACTAAAATTAAATATATTTTCCTTTAATTTTCTTGTCCTGATCCTCGTCAATGGCTCCATTTTCGGGGTCTTTGCTGTAAACATCTTCTTCATAGAACTGAAACAAAAACAAAATTATTTATAGACAGATGCTGATAAACTCAAATAAAATTTACATATATTCAACAGTGAGCAAAAAAAAAAAGACAGTTCAAAAATATCAAACCAAATATAAAACTTTTAATAAAGTTTGCTTATTTAAAAAATAAAACGTGTTTCAAAATATTTAGAAAGAAAAAACTGGCATTAATGGCAGCCAACATCATTGGTCAATTGCTCTTTTTGACTATATATCATTAACTATTTTCATTTTAAATCTTTATTTAAATCAGTAATGAAGACGGTTTAATGATATAATCATTATTTTCGAAATTAATGTGTGCGTCAAATTATCACAAATTGGTGGCTATTCAAAACAATCTGATGTAGCCACTTGAACAGAAATGATTAAAATTTAACTGAATTTCAAACAATCTAAATCAGGTCATATTTTCCCAATTATTTATAGAAAAATGCAGATGAATATGTAAATTTCCAGGGAAAAACTGATTTTAATGACCTAACAAATATGAACATAGTTTTAAGTACAATTGTATAACCAAATACTTACATGCTACTCATTTCCAATCTCCAATGAAACAATCTTCATGTTCTGTGACTGACTGGAACTTGGTAAGGCCTGCTACTGTAATAGAACTAAAATTATAATTAGACTGAAATTAAATATACTTTCCTTTAATTTTCTTGTCCTGATCCTCGTCAATGGCTCCATTTTCGGGGTCTTTGCTGTAAACATCTTCTTCATAGAACTGAAACAAAAACAAAATTATTTATAGACAGATGCTGATAAACTCAAATAAAATTTACATATATTCAACAGTGAGCAAAAAAAAAAGACAGTTCAAAAATATCAAACCAAATATAAAACTTTTAATAAAGTTTGCTTATTTAAAAAATAAAACTTGTTTCAAAATATTTAGAAAGAAAAAACTGGCATTAATGGCAGCCAACATCATTGGTCAATTGCTCTTTTTGACTATATATCATTAACTATTTTCATTTTAAATCTTTATTTAAATCAGTAATGAAGACGGTTTAATGATATAATCATTATTTTCGAAATTAATGTGTGCGTCAAATTATCACAAATTGGTGGCTATTCAAAACAATCTGATGTAGACACTTGAACAGAAATGATTAAAATTTAACTGAATTTCAAACAATCTAAATCAGGTCATATTTTCCCAATTATTTATAGAAAAATGCAGATGAATATGTAAATTTCCAGGGAAAAACTGATTTTAATGACCTAACAAATATGAACATAGTTTTAAGTACAATTGTATAACCAAATACTTACATGCTACTCATTTCCAATCTCCAATGAAACAATCTTCATGTTCTGTGACTGACTGGAACTTGGTAAGGCCTGCTACTGTAATAGAACTAAAATTATAATTAGACTAAAATTAAATATACTTTCCTTTAATTTTCTTGTCCTGATCCTCGTCAATGGCTCCATTTTCGGGGTCTTTGCTGTAAACATCTTCTTCATAGAACTGAAACAAAAACAAAATTATTTATAGACAGATGCTGATAAACTCAAATAAAATTTACATATATTCAACAGTGAGCAAAAAAAAAAAGACAGTTCAAAAATATCAAACCAAATATAAAACTTTTAATAAAGTTTGCTTATTTAAAAAATAAAACTTGTTTCAAAATATTTAGAAAGAAAAAACTGGCATTAATGGCAGCCAACATCATTGGTCAATTGCTCTTTTTGACTATATATCATTAACTATTTTCATTTTAAATCTTTATTTAAATCAGTAATGAAGACGGTTTAATGATATAATCATTATTTTCGAAATTAATGTGTGCGTCAAATTATCACAAATTGGTGGCTATTCAAAACAATCTGATGTAGACACTTGAACAGAAATGATTAAAATTTAACTGAATTTCAAACAATCTAAATCAGGTCATATTTTCCCAATTATTTATAGAAAAATGCAGATGAATATGTAAATTTCCAGGGAAAAACTGATTTTAATGACCTAACAAATATGAACATAGTTTTAAGTACAATTGTATAACCAAATACTTACATACTACTCATTTCCAATCTCCAATGAAACAATCTTCATGTTCTGTGACTGACTGGAACTTGGTAAGGCCTGCTACTGTAATAGAACTAAAATTATAATTAGACTAAAATTAAATATACTTTCCTTTAATTTTCTTGTCCTGATCCTCGTCAATGGCTCCATTTTCGGGGTCTTTGCTGTAAACATCTTCTTCATAGAACTGAAACAAAAACAAAATTATTTATAGACAGATGCTGATAAACTCAAATAAAATTTACATATATTCAACAGTGAGCAAAAAAAAAAAAGACAGTTCAAAAATATCAAACCAAATATAAAACTTTTAATAAAGTTTGCTTATTTAAAAAATAAAACTTGTTTCAAAATATTTAGAAAGAAAAAACTGGCATTAATGGCAGCCAACATCATTGGTCAATTGCTCTTTTTGACTATATATCATTAACTATTTTCATTTTAAATCTTTATTTAAATCAGTAATGAAGACGGTTTAATGATATAATCATTATTTTCGAAATTAATGTGTGCGTCAAATTATCACAAATTGGTGGCTATTCAAAACAATCTGATGTAGACACTTGAACAGAAATGATTAAAATTTAACTGAATTTCAAACAATCTAAATCAGGTCATATTTTCCCAATTATTTATAGAAAAATGCAGATGAATATGTAAATTTCCAGGGAAAAACTGATTTTAATGACCTAACAAATATGAACATAGTTTTAAGTACAATTGTATAACCAAATACTTACATGCTACTCATTTCCAATCTCCAATGAAACCATCTTCATGTTCTGTGACTGACTGGAACTTGGTAAGGCCTGCTACTGTAATAGAACTAAAATTATAATTAGACTAAAATTAAATATACTTTCCTTTAATTTTCTTGTCCTGATCCTCGTCAATGGCTCCATTTTCGGGGTCTTTGCTGTAAACATCTTCTTCATAGAACTGAAACAAAAACAAAATTATTTATAGACAGATGCTGATAAACTCAAATAAAATTTACATATATTCAACAGTGAGCAAAAAAAAAAAAGACAGTTCAAAAATATCAAACCAAATATAAAACTTTTAATAAAGTTTGCTTATTTAAAAAATAAAACTTGTTTCAAAATATTTAGAAAGAAAAAACTGGCATTAATGGCAGCCAACATCATTGGTCAATTGCTCTTTTTGACTATATATCATTAACTATTTTCATTTTAAATCTTTATTTAAATCAGTAATGAAGACGGTTTAATGATATAATCATTATTTTCGAAATTAATGTGTGCGTCAAATTATCACAAATTGGTGGCTATTCAAAACAATCTGATGTAGACACTTGAACAGAAATGATTAAAATTTAACTGAATTTCAAACAATCTAAATCAGGTCATATTTTCCCAATTATTTATAGAAAAATGCAGATGAATATGTAAATTTCCAGGGAAAAACTGATTTTAATGACCTAACAAATATGAACATAGTTTTAAGTACAATTGTATAACCAAATACTTACATACTACTCATTTCCAATCTCCAATGAAACAATCTTCATGTTCTGTGACTGACTGGAACTTGGTAAGGCCTGCTACTGTAATAGAACTAAAATTATAATTAGACTAAAATTAAATATACTTTCCTTTAATTTTCTTGTCCTGATCCTCGTCAATGGCTCCATTTTCGGGGTCTCTGCTGTAAACATCTTCTTCATAGAACTGAAACAAAAACAAAATTATTTATAGACAGATGCTGATAAACTCAAATAAAATTTACATATATTCAACAGTGAGCCAAAAAAAAAAGACAGTTCAAAAATATCAAACCAAATATAAAACTTTTAATAAAGTTTGCTTATTTAAAAAATAAAACTTGTTTCAAAATATTTAGAAAGAAAAAACTGGCATTAATGGCAGCCAACATCATTGGTCAATTGCTATTTTTGACTATATATCATTAACTATTTTCATTTTAAATCTTTATTTAAATCAGTAATGAAGACGGTTTAATGATATAATCATTATTTTCGAAATTAATGTGTGCGTCAAATTATCACAAATTGGTGGCTATTCAAAACAATCTGATGTAGACACTTGAACAGAAATGATTAAAATTTAACTGAATTTCAAACAATCTAAATCAGGTCATATTTTCCCAATTATTTATAGAAAAATGCAGATGAATATGTAAATTTCCAGGGAAAAACTGATTTTAATGACCTAACAAATATGAACATAGTTTTAAGTACAATTGTATAACCAAATACTTACATACTACTCATTTCCAATCTCCAATGAAACAATCTTCATGTTCTGTGACTGACTGGAACTTGGTAAGGCCTGCTACTGTAATAGAACTAAAATTATAATTAGACTAAAATTAAATATACTTTCCTTTAATTTTCTTGTCCTGATCCTCGTCAATGGCTCCATTTTCGGGGTCTCTGCTGTAAACATCTTCTTCATAGAACTGAAACAAAAACAAAATTATTTATAGACAGATGCTGATAAACTCAAATAAAATTTACATATATTCAACAGTGAGCAAAAAAAAAAGACAGTTCAAAAATATCAAACCAAATATAAAACTTTTAATAAAGTTTGCTTATTTAAAAAATAAAACTTGTTTCAAAATATTTAGAAAGAAAAAACTGGCATTAATGGCAGCCAACATCATTGGTCAATTGCTCTTTTTGACTATATATCATTAACTATTTTCATTTTAAATCTTTATTTAAATCAGTAATGAAGACGGTTTAATGATATAATCATTATTTTCGAAATTAATGTGTGCGTCAAATTATCACAAATTGGTGGCTATTCAAAACAATCTGATGTAGACACTTGAACAGAAATGATTAAAATTTAACTGAATTTCAAACAATCTAAATCAGGTCATATTTTCCCAATTATTTATAGAAAAATGCAGATGAATATGTAAATTTCCAGGGAAAAACTGATTTTAATGACCTAACAAATATGAACATAGTTTTAAGTACAATTGTATAACCAAATACTTACATGCTACTCATTTCCAATCTCCAATGAAACAATCTTCATGTTCTGTGACTGACTGGAACTTGGTAAGGCCTGCTACTGTAATAGAACTAAAATTATAATTAGACTAAAATTAAATATACTTTCCTTTAATTTTCTTGTCCTGATCCTCGTCAATGGCTCCATTTTCGGGGTCTTTGCTGTAAACATCTTCTTCATAGAACTGAAACAAAAACAAAATTATTTATAGACAGATGCTGATAAACTCAAATAAAATTTACATATATTCAACAGTGAGCAAAAAAAAAAAGACAGTTCAAAAATATCAAACCAAATATAAAACTTTTAATAAAGTTTGCTTATTTAAAAAATAAAACTTGTTTCAAAATATTTAGAAAGAAAAAACTGGCATTAATGGCAGCCAACATCATTGGTCAATTGCTCTTTTTGACTATATATCATTAACTATTTTCATTTTAAATCTTTATTTAAATCAGTAATGAAGACGGTTTAATGATATAATCATTATTTTCGAAATTAATGTGTGCGTCAAATTATCACAAATTGGTGGCTATTCAAAACAATCTGATGTAGACACTTGAACAGAAATGATTAAAATTTAACTGAATTTCAAACAATCTAAATCAGGTCATATTTTCCCAATTATTTATAGAAAAATGCAGATGAATATGTAAATTTCCAGGGAAAAACTGATTTTAATGACCTAACAAATATGAACATAGTTTTAAGTACAATTGTATAACCAAATACTTACATGCTACTCATTTCCAATCTCCAATGAAACCATCTTCATGTTCTGTGACTGACTGGAACTTGGTAAGGCCTGCTACTGTAATAGAACTAAGATTATAATTAGACTAAAATTAAATATACTTTCCTTTAATTTTCTTGTCCTGATCCTCGTCAATGGCTCCATTTTCGGGGTCTTTGCTGTAAACATCTTCTTCATAGAACTGAAACAAAAACAAAATTATTTATAGACAGATGCTGATAAACTCAAATAAAATTTACATATATTCAACAGTGAGCAAAAAAAAAAAGACAGTTCAAAAATATCAAACCAAATATAAAACTTTTAATAAAGTTTGCTTATTTAAAAAATAAAACTTGTTTCAAAATATTTAGAAAGAAAAAACTGGCATTAATGGCAGCCAACATCATTGGTCAATTGCTCTTTTTGACTATATATCATTAACTATTTTCATTTTAAATCTTTATTTAAATCAGTAATGAAGACGGTTTAATGATATAATCATTATTTTCGAAATTAATGTGTGCGTCAAATTATCACAAATTGGTGGCTATTCAAAACAATCTGATGTAGACACTTGAACAGAAATGATTAAAATTTAACTGAATTTCAAACAATCTAAATCAGGTCATATTTTCCCAATTATTTATAGAAAAATGCAGATGAATATGTAAATTTCCAGGGAAAAACTGATTTTAATGACCTAACAAATATGAACATAGTTTTAAGTACAATTGTATAACCAAATACTTACATGCTACTCATTTCCAATCTCCAATGAAACAATCTTCATGTTCTGTGACTGACTGGAACTTGGTAAGGCCTGCTACTGTAATAGAACTAAAATTATAATTAGACTAAAATTAAATATACTTTCCTTTAATTTTCTTGTCCTGAACCTCGTCAATGGCTCCATTTTCGGGGTCTTTGCTGTAAACATCTTCTTCATAGAACTGAAACAAAAACAAAATTATTTATAGACAGATGCTGATAAACTCAAATAAAATTTACATATATTCAACAGTGAGCAAAAAAAAAAAGACAGTTCAAAAATATCAAACCAAATATAAAACTTTTAATAAAGTTTGCTTATTTAAAAAATAAAACTTGTTTCAAAATATTTAGAAAGAAAAAACTGGCATTAATGGCAGCCAACATCATTGGTCAATTGCTCTTTTTGACTATATATCATTAACTATTTTCATTTTAAATCTTTATTTAAATCAGTAATGAAGACGGTTTAATGATATAATCATTATTTTCGAAATTAATGTGTGCGTCAAATTATCACAAATTGGTGGCTATTCAAAACAATCTGATGTAGACACTTGAACAGAAATGATTAAAATTTAACTGAATTTCAAACAATCTAAATCAGGTCATATTTTCCCAATTATTTATAGAAAAATGCAGATGAATATGTAAATTTCCAGGGAAAAACTGATTTTAATGACCTAACAAATATGAACATAGTTTTAAGTACAATTGTATAACCAAATACTTACATACTACTCATTTCCAATCTCCAATGAAACAATCTTCATGTTCTGTGACTGACTGGAACTTGGTAAGGCCTGCTACTGTAATAGAACTAAAATTATAATTAGACTGAAATTAAATATACTTTCCTTTAATTTTCTTGTCCTGATCCTCGTCAATGGCTCCATTTTCGGGGTCTATGCTGTAAACATCTTCTTCATAGAACTGAAACAAAAACAAAATTATTTATAGACAGATGCTGATAAACTCAAATAAAATTTACATATATTCAACAGTGAGCAAAAAAAAAAAGACAGTTCAAAAATATCAAACCAAATATAAAACTTTTAATAAAGTTTGCTTATTTAAAAAATAAAACTTGTTTCAAAATATTTAGAAAGAAAAAACTGGCATTAATGGCAGCCAACATCATTGGTCAATTGCTCTTTTTGACTATATATCATTAACTATTTTCATTTTAAATCTTTATTTAAATCAGTAATGAAGACGGTTTAATGATATAATCATTATTTTCGAAATTAATGTGTGCGTCAAATTATCACAAATTGGTGGCTATTCAAAACAATCTGATGTAGACACTTGAACAGAAATGATTAAAATTTAACTGAATTTCAAACAATCTAAATCATGTCATATTTTCCCAATTATTTATAGAAAAATGCAGATGAATATGTAAATTTCCAGGAAAAAACTGATTTTAATGACCTAACAAATATGAACATAGTTTTAAGTACAATTGTATAACCAAATACTTACATGCTACTCATTTCCAATCTCCAATGAAACAATCTTCATGTTCTGTGACTGACTGGAACTTGGTAAGGCCTGCTACTGTAATAGAACTAAAATTATAATTAGACTAAAATTAAATATACTTTCCTTTAATTTTCTTGTCCTGATCCTCGTCAATGGCTCCATTTTCGGGGTCTTTGCGGTAAACATCTTCTTCATAGAACTGAAACAAAAACAAAATTATTTATAGACAGATGCTGATAAACTCAAATAAAATTTACATATATTCAACAGTGAGCAAAAAAAAAAAGACAGTTCAAAAATATCAAACCAAATATAAAACTTTTAATAAAGTTTGCTTATTTAAAAAATAAAACTTGTTTCAAAATATTTAGAAAGAAAAAACTGGCATTAATGGCAGCCAACATCATTGGTCAATTGCTCTTTTTGACTATATATCATTAACTATTTTCATTTTAAATCTTTATTTAAATCAGTAATGAAGACGGTTTAATGATATAATCATTATTTTCGAAATTAATGTGTGCGTCAAATTATCACAAATTGGTGGCTATTCAAAACAATCTGATGTAGACACTTGAACAGAAATGATTAAAATTTAACTGAATTTCAAACAATCTAAATCAGGTCATATTTTCCCAATTATTTATAGAAAAATGCAGATGAATATGTAAATTTCCAGGGAAAAACTGATTTTAATGACCTAACAAATATGAACATAGTTTTAAGTACAATTGTATAACCAAATACTTACATGCTACTCATTTCCAATCTCCAATGAAACAATCTTCATGTTCTGTGACTGACTGGAACTTGGTAAGGCCTGCTACTGTAATAGAACTAAAATTATAATTAGACTAAAATTAAATATACTTTCCTTTAATTTTCTTGTCCTGATCCTCGTCAATGGCTCCATTTTCGGGGTCTTTGCTGTAAACATCTTCTTCATAGAACTGAAACAAAAACAAAATTATTTATAGACAGATGCTGATAAACTCAAATAAAATTTACATATATATTCAACAGTGAGCAAAAAAAAAAAAGACAGTTCAAAAATATCAAACCAAATATAAAACTTTTAATAAAGTTTGCTTATTTAAAAAATAAAACTTGTTTCAAAATATTTAGAAAGAAAAAACTGGCATTAATGGCAGCCAACATCATTGGTCAATTGCTCTTTTTGACTATATATCATTAACTATTTTCATTTTAAATCTTTATTTAAATCAGTAATGAAGACGGTTTAATGATATAATCATTATTTTCGAAATTAATGTGTGCGTCAAATTATCACAAATTGGTGGCTATTCAAAACAATCTGATGTAGACACTTGAACAGAAATGATTAAAATTTAACTGAATTTCAAACAATCTAAATCAGGTCATATTTTCCCAATTATTTATAGAAAAATGCAGATGAATATGTAAATTTCCAGGGAAAAACTGATTTTAATGACCTAACAAATATGAACATAGTTTTAAGTACAATTGTATAACCAAATACTTACATGCTACTCATTTCCAATCTCCAATGAAACAATCTTCATGTTCTGTGACTGACTGGAACTTGGTAAGGCCTGCTACTGTAATAGAACTAAAATTATAATTAGACTAAAATTAAATATACTTTCCTTTAATTTTCTTGTCCTGATCCTCGTCAATGGCTCCATTTTCGGGGTCTTTGCTGTAAACATCTTCTTCATAGAACTGAAACAAAAACAAAATTATTTATAGACAGATGCTGATAAACTCAAATAAAATTTACATATATTCAACAGTGAGCAAAAAAAAAAAGACAGTTCAAAAATATCAAACCAAATATAAAACTTTTAATAAAGTTTGCTTATTTAAAAAATAAAACTTGTTTCAAAATATTTAGAAAGAAAAAACTGGCATTAATGGCAGCCAACATCATTGGTCAATTGCTCTTTTTGACTATATATCATTAACTATTTTCATTTTAAATCTTTATTTAAATCAGTAATGAAGACGGTTTAATGATATAATCATTATTTTCGAAATTAATGTGTGCGTCAAATTATCACAAATTGGTGGCTATTCAAAACAATCTGATGTAGACACTTGAACAGAAATGATTAAAATTTAACTGAATTTCAAACAATCTAAATCAGGTCATATTTTCCCAATTATTTATAGAAAAATGCAGATGAATATGTAAATTTCCAGGGAAAAACTGATTTTAATGACCTAACAAATATGAACATAGTTTTAAGTACAATTGTATAACCAAATACTTACATGCTACTCATTTCCAATCTCCAATGAAACAATCTTCATGTTCTGTGACTGACTGGAACTTGGTAAGGCCTGCTACTGTAATAGAACTAAAATTATAATTAGACTAAAATTAAATATACTTTCCTTTAATTTTCTTGTCCTGATCCTCGTCAATGGCTCCATTTTTGGGGTCTTTGCTGTAAACATCTTCTTCATAGAACTGAAACAAAAACAAAATTATTTATAGACAGATGCTGATAAACTCAAATAAAATTTACATATATTCAACAGTGAGCAAAAAAAAAAAGACAGTTCAAAAATATCAAACCAAATATAAAACTTTTAATAAAGTTTGCTTATTTAAAAAATAAAACGTGTTTCAAAATATTTAGAAAGAAAAAACTGGCATTAATGGCAGCCAACATCATTGGTCAATTGCTCTTTTTGACTATATATCATTAACTATTTTCATTTTAAATCTTTATTTAAATCAGTAATGAAGACGGTTTAATGATATAATCATTATTTTCGAAATTAATGTGTGCGTCAAATTATCACAAATTGGTGGCTATTCAAAACAATCTGATGTA